CGGGCTTGGGCTGTTACACATTTGGGAAACCATTTGTGTGGGAATTTGCTTGTTGGGCCAACCTTGGGCTCTGATACCATATTAGGAATGTGGCCTAACTTAACCCAAAAGCTAGCTCAAGAGTTAAAGATTGTCACATCCTTTATATACTACCCAAAGATCTTAATCCCAAGCAATGTGGGACTTTCTAATAGATTGGTGGCTTACATTTCTGTACTTGTTTGATCAGTAATGACAACAGCCAATGATTGGCATCTAATCATACTCATACATGTTGGATAATGCTTTGGCGAGCGATGTTTTCTTTGACTTTTCTTCTACATAATAGAAAGACTTTAATAAAAGTCTTTAATGTAATATATATATTTCTTAGAGTGAGATATTTATTTCATATTCAGACTCTTATTAAAAAAATTGGAAATGCTTTGTACTCTTATAGAAATACTATATACTACAACAGATTTTTCATTATTGACATTTGACAATGATTGATATTTGAATTATCCATATGAAAAAATCTATTTTTCTTTCGAGATGTCAATAGAAACAGCAAGTTTATAATTTCATAGCATGATTAACAACCGTACCGGACTATATAACAGTGATTAACATACCTCTATGTATTAATTGTTTGAAAAAGAAACCAAAACAAAAATAGAAATATATATATTGTCATCCTCTATATTTATTGCTTAAACGTTATATTCCCTTAATCCCTTGTACCCCTCAAGATAGGGTCGGGGAATATTCCAATTGAGATGTGTTATCAACCGTGGACATGGGAATTAAACTCGTCACATGGCACGACTTCACCATTCTCGAATGGATGATGGGGTGCTCTTATAGAAAGACTCCAAGAAATAGTGTTCAGACATGCCTTGAAAATCTTATTTTTAAAAACTATTATATTAAGACTTGAATATTCAAAACCTTATGCCTTAACAAAACTAGAATAGCTAAAAATAGTGTTCAGACATGCAAACCCAAAAGACTCCAAGAAAGTCAGTCATCTATAATATTTTATGACTTAAAAAATTGACGAGCCAAAAGATAGTGTTCAGACATGCAAACCCATTTCCAAGCATAGGGAGCCTAATCAGCCTCGACCCTGGTTTGGTAATTCTATAAATACTCTGTGTTTTTCTAACAAAAATTTTTCTTTTAATGGTTGGAACAATATTTACTACTTCTTAATATTCACTACGTCTAGGATATGGACGTCAAACAAATATAGTCCAAAATTAACATTTTAAAAATGTTTTCAATACACTAACTATTCAAAAATCCAAATTCTACAACCTCAATGTTTTATTTTGAATAGACGAAAATATAAAATGTTAAGAAAGCAAGAAAATACAAATCTTTGTAATTTAAATGAAAAATAAAAATAACAATGAAAGTTAAGAAAGTGGCTTATAATAAGCATAGACAGCAAACAAGCTTTGAAAGAATGTAAGAATTAGCAGAACAAGTGCAGCTGAAAAAGAGAAATATGCCCAAGGGTTATTGAAGTACTTTTGTCTTAAGGTAGCCTTCAAAGAGTTCCACTTACGACTATAATAACGGTTAACTTCGCCAGACAATTGAGATAGATAACCATCTTTTGGGTCAAAGATCCCTTCTTTACATAACCGGTTGAACAAATCTGCAACTTCAGAATCACTCCCTAGCCAATGCTCAATGATACCGTCATGGTGCAAGTAGCTAACATCTTGAGAAGAGTTTATTAGATTATCCATGAAGATTATGTAGGATGTTATGTTGTTGCTTGACTGTGTATGGCACTGCTCGAAAGCTATAAGATTTGAGAAAAGAGACTTGGTACCTACAAGAAACATGTGAGACCACGGTGTTTTAGTAAGTTTAAGGAGTTATGGGTTCTATACATAAATTTGGTTAGTGTACAAGAAAATAACATGACACTAGACTTTATGAGTGCAAGATACACCATTTTTCAGGAACTAGTAAGACATCAAATTCTAGCTTGTAACAAATATATTCTTTGTCAAACTGTAAGATCTTAAAGATAATGGATAGGAAAGGAAAATAGTTAAACATTTTGAGGAACTAATAGGAAAGTTGACCGGTTAAGTACTCACCGTCATGGATTAGTAGTTTGGGTATCTTTAGATAACCGTTTTTGAATTCAATATCCCAAAGCTGGCCGGTTTGTTTTCTCATGAACTTAACACCAGCGTCTCTTAGTTCTGTCACGCAATGTATCAGTTGTTGTTGCTTGTCCACCATCCTCATATCCTCATATGGAGTCCCCCGATTCGTTGTCTCACTAGATTGGATGAGACTTCGATGGAACACATCCAAGCAGTGCAACCCGCCATTGTCAGCCAGTTCATCGGATTTTTCCTGCGAGTCCAACGGGCTTTTTGATTTGGTCAGCGCCTCGCTTGTTGGCATTAGTGTTTTGAAGAACTGAACAGCAACATCTGCCACTATACCGGTTTGGTTCGGTGTACCGGGCTGTAGCCCTAATAACCGGTCGAGAATGAACAGAGGAAGTTGGTTTTCCAGCATTATCATGTCACGTTGAATCGAATGCATCAACCCTGTTGATCCTCAAAATCACACAAGTACGTATTCGAAGTCTTAAGGGTGAAAGAAGAATCTCTTATTTAATGACGAGCCGACGATTTCAAAAATAGACGAGCTAAAAACTGAGTATACGAGCCGAGCCGCAAAGTACTCTGACGGTTGTACGAAATTCTCTGTGAAAGCGGTTATTTCGGGATCCCTTTACAAACATTCTTTTTTGCTATTTATAGGATGCATGAGTAGGGTACACTGTGCGTGCGAAATGTCCTTTTTGCCCTTTGATCGGTGGAAAATCGGACTGGGCCTTTCTTGGGCTTTTCTGGGACTAAACTCTTAATGGGCCGGACCCTTAAAATCTGATTTTCGGCCCGTCTCGTCGAGTTGAAGGCCCAAGATGGGATTATGGGCCCGGGCCCATAATCTACCATCAACAGTAGCCCCCCAACCCTAGTGCGTAGCAAACGGCACGGCTAGGGTTGTAATCATTTCGTCGCCCCGGTTTGATTTCTTGCGTACGTCTTCGAGGCGCGTGTGATGAACGCCCTCTTCCGATTCGTCTACTGCTGCTCCCGAGGCCTCGATTATTGGGTCGCTTGCGTGTTGAAGGCGGCGAGGTCGTCTTGAACTCCAAGGACGTGATTGAGAGGCTTGAAGCTGATGCGGAAGAGCTTAAGAACGAGGTCAATGCGTTCGACATTGCCGAGCTGGAGGAAGGCTAGAATGACGTCGGAAATCTCTTCACGGGCTCTCTCGCTGCTGAGGAGTTTGCGCCTTCGGTTGAAGGTGTTGACGATGAAGTTTTTATGTTATTTTTTTTTAAGTTATTTGCCGCGTAGTCGGCTTTTGTAAGACTCTTGCCACTTCTGTTGGCTTTTCCTTTGTTGAATATCTATTTCGTTTGTTATCTTTTTCGTATGCCGTCGAGATCGTTCCGCGCAGGTTATTGAGGACGACCTCAATAACTTGGTCGATAATCGTGTTTGGGTTGGATCCAAGACACTCGGTGGTACGACCTACGAGGTCGTACCGCGCAAGTTATTGGGGACGACCTCAATAACTTGGTTGATAATCGTGTTTGGGTTGGATCCGAGACACTCGGTGGTACGACCTACGAGGTCGTACCGCGCAAGTTATTGGGGACGACCTCAATAACTTGGCCAATAATCGTGTTTGGGTTGGACCCAGAACAATTTTAGGTGCGACCTCCGGGGTCGGCTTATCCTGTTCGAATGATTAAAACGAGCGTGATTGCGAGTTCGGCCTCGGCTTACGTGACCAGTCGTTTTAATCGTGCGAGTATGGAACTCGGCTTTCGTTCGATTAGACACCGGGCCAGGGTGCTAACGTATTTCGTTTCGTTTGTCTTTAAAAAGATAGATTTTATTAATATTTGCAGCTGTGCCTCGTAAACGAGGCTGCCTACGTACCCTCTGATCGGAGGGATCAAGCCGCTCGTAGTTCACATTACATAGTGAGGCGTCGGTAAGGCCGAGCTCTCTTTTTTTTTTTTTTTTTTTTTTTTTTTTTTTTTAATAATAGTATCGCTTCAGATGCATCGAATTCCATGTGCGGGGGACTTCGACGCCGGACATTGTGAGGAGTTCGTAGTCTCCGGGTCGGACGATCTTCGATATCTGATAGGGACCTTCCCAATTCGCGCCTAGCTTCCCGGCGTTGAGTTCGGCCGTGTTTTCGAACACTTTTCTGAGGACGAGGTCTCCTTCGCTAAAATGCCGATTATGGACTTTCTTGTTGTAGTATTTCGCTGCGGCGAGTTGATAATTCTGGATTCGACATAGCGCGGTGTTGCGGTTTTCTTCCAGGTCGTCGAGACTGTGCCTCATCATTTCATCGTTGAGATCATTATTCTGTATCATCATGGAACGTCGGAGGCTCGTACACCCTACTTCGGTCGGGGCCATCGCTTCCATTCTGTAGGCTAATGAAAACGGAGTTTGTTCGGTGGCGCTGCGCGGGATCGTTCTGTATGACCATAGGACGCCGTCGAGTTCGTCTGCCCAGACTCCTTTTTTGGCTTCTAGCCGTTTCTTGAGTCCGGCGAGGATTGTTTTGTTTGTTGCCTCAGCCTGGCCGTTGCCTTGGGGGTAACGCGGTGTTGACTTGTTCAGACGAATTCTCCAGCTAGCGCAGAAATCTTCAAACTGTTGCGAAATAAACTGCGAGCCATTGTCCGTGATTATTTCGTACGGTAGGCCGTGCCGACAGATGATGTATTTCCAAACGAAGTTTTGTACGTCTTTGGCTTTGATCGTTGCATAGGATTCGGCTTCGACCCACTTGGTAAAGTAATCAGTCATGACGAGGATGAAGCGTTTTTGCCGCGAAGCTGGAAGTGGACCAACGACGTCCATGGCCCAACGCATGAAAGGGTATGGCGCGGCGCCAGCTTTCATCAGTTCGGTCGGCTGGTGGATGACGGGGGCACGCCGTTGGCATTGCTCGCACTTGAGCACGTAGTTTTTACAATCCGAGATCATCGTCGGCCAGTAGTAACCGAGCTTTCTGATTTTGAGTGCGAGAGATCGTCCTCCTGAGTGGTTTCCACCTGCTCCCTCGTGTGTTTCTTTCATGACTTCTGCCGCGTCCGCCTTATGGAGGCAGCTGAGCACTGCCCCAGAGGCATTGTACCGAAGTAAGCATTCGCGGTATAGAGCATATTTTGACGATTTGGCGCGTATACGCCGTGCTTCCCATTTGTCTACCGGAACCGTCCCATCTGACAGGAAATCGCGTATTTCAAGGCGCCAATCGTCGGGGTCGCTTATCGGATCTAGTGCGGCGCGGCTGCACACAAGGTTGATGGATTCGATCCCTTCAATGCTGGGGTGGTCGATGCTTTCGACTGGTATGACGCGGCGAAGGTCTGGGTCGGACGTTGAGGCTAGTGCTGCTAGGGCGTCTGCGGAAGCGTTATCTCCCTGTGGTATCTTGGTTAGCTCAAACTCTGTGAATTGTTTGGACAGACGCTGGACGACCTTGAGGTACGCGTCCATTCTATCATTTCTTGCTTCGTAGTCGCCGCTATATTGACTTGCTACGAGCTGTGAATCGATCAAGGCACGGAGTCGTCGGACGTTCATCCCAATTGCGAGTCGGAGTCCAGCGATGAGTGCTTCGTATTCGGCGACGTTGTTTGTCGCCGCGAATCGTAGCCGGAAGGACTGCTCCAACATTTCGCCGGTTGGGGACACGAGCCTGATGCTGACGCCCGATCCATGCGAAGAGGACGAACCGTCTGAATAGAGGGTCCAAGTACCATTCGTCTGATTGGTGTTTAGTGCGGTGTCGTCCGGGTCTATTACTGGTAACTCGACGATGAAGTCGGCGAGGACTTGAGATTTCATGGCTGGTCGAGCCCGGAAGTCGATATCGTATTCACTGAGTTCGACGGCCCACTTGGTCATCCTTCCAGACAGGCTCGGACTGTGTAACGCGGCTTTGATAGGTTGGTTTGTAAGCACCGCCACGGTATGAGACTGGAAGTAGGGACGCAACTTCCTTGCCGACGTAACGACTGCTAACGCAGCTTTTTCCATTGTAGGATAACGGACCTCGGCCTCGATTAGCGATTTACTTACATAGAAGATTGGTCTCTGTTCGCCGCGGTCGTCTCGTACTAATACCCCGCTGACGGCCCAACTTGATACATCTATGTATAAGAATAAAGTTTCACCGTTCTCAGGTTTTGCGAGTACCGGTGGCGTCGTTAGATATGTCTTAAGTTCGGCAAACGCTTTCTCGCTTGCGTCGTCCCAGGTAAACTTGTCTCTTCGCTTTAGGAGGTTGTAGAACGGCAAACATTTGTCCGTCGACCTCGAGATGAATCAATTGAGGGCCGCGATCCGGCCGGTCAACCGTTGTACTTCCTTGGCGTTTCTGGGAGAGGGTAACTCCAGTATAGCGCGAATTTGTTTTGGGTTGGCTTCTATCCCTCTCTTGGTGACGACGTAACCCAGGAACTCACCGGAAGTTACCGCAAACGTACACTTGGCCGGGTTTAACTTCATTTGGTATTTGTTTAGCACGTCGAAGCTTTGTCGGAGGTTCTGAACGTGGTCGTCAGCTTTCAATGACTTAACGAGCATGTCGTCGATGTAGACTTCAACAGTTCGGCCGAGCTGTTCAGCGAACATTTTGTTGACGAGGCGCTGATACGTTGCTCCGGCATTTTTCAGACCGAATGGCATTACCTTGTAGCAGTACGTTCCGCGATCGGTGATGAAGGACGTCTTTTCCTGATCGTCCTTATGCATGAGAATTTGGTTGTATCCAGAGAAAGCGTCCATGAACGATAGGAGCTCGTTCCCTGCTGTGGCTTCGACGAGCCGGTCGATATGCGGTAAAGGGTAGCTTTCTTTTGGACAGGCCTTGTTCAGATCAGTGAAGTCGATGCACACTCGCCACTTACCGTTTTTCTTTTTGACTACGACGGGATTTGCCAACCACTCTGGATATCGGACTTCGATGATGGAGCCGGCGCCTAGTAGCTTTTCGACCTCGTCATTTACTGCTTTGGCTCGTTCCGGACCCAATTTGCGTCTTTTCTGCTTCACAGGTTTGAATGTCGGATCGACGCCTAGCTCGTGGGACGTTATCGATGGGTTGATTCCAGGCATGTCCTCAACGCTCCAAGCGAAGGTTGACGAATTCTCTTTGAGGAGGGCCACAAGGGCCGCTTTGATTTCTGGACTAATTTCAGCTCCGATGCCGACGCACCGCAGTGGATCCGACGCGTCGATATTCACAAGTTCCGTCCGACTTAGTTCCGATTCCTCGTAGGATTTGCCTGGTGCCTTTGCTACAGCGGAGCGGGGCGCGGGCTCCTCTTTCTTTGGTTGCTATAATTTCTTTTCGGCGCGGTTCTTGTGTTCGATCAGGAAACACGTCCGCGCTACTTGCTGATTTCCTTTGAGAGTAAAGATTCCCTGATGAGTAGGAAACTTGACGCACTGGTGGTAGGTGGACGCGACGGCCTGCATTTGATGAAGCCACGGCGTCCCCAAGATTACATTATATATCGTCGGTTTATCGATGACAACGAACTTAACCCAGGCGATCGTTCCGCCAACAAATGTGGGTAGTTTGATGGTGCCGAGAGACATGATGAAATCGCCATCGAACCCAGCCAATGGTCGAGAACGCGGCTTTATACACCGGTCAGCTACGTTCATCGCGGTGAGGGTGTCTTTAAAGATTAGGTCGACTGAGCTGCCTGTATCAATCATGACGCGCGTAACTCGGCTATCGCTGACGATTAGCTCGACAACCAACGGATCGTTGTGGGGGAGATCGACTCCGACGAGGTTGTCTTTCGTGAAAGAAATGGGTTCGATCTCCACGGAAGGTTGGCTCGGCGCTACTGGCCACGTCTCCATCATTTCGGCTTTCTTTCGACACTGCTTGATTGAACGGACCGAATCGTTGCAATTTTGAAGACCGCCCATGATCATATGGATTTGTCGAACGACAGCGGGGGCGTCGGCGACAGCTTTGCCATGGCGTTGTCTTTTGGCCGAATCGTTTGCTTGATCGTCGCCTCCAGCTGCTCCGTCGGCTCGATCCTGGAGGAATTGCCGAGCAGTGGCCTCGTTTCGTTTTTGGTTTTTATTGCTCCCTTGGGCTCGGTCACATTCGATGGTGATGCCGCCGCTCTTATGCTTAGCCATGAGGAGTCCTTGCAGGTAGCGACAGTCTTCCGTCGCGTGAGCCTTGCTTTTATGATACTCGCAATACACCGGCCCGGTAGTAATGGCATCGGTATCTCTTGCCCATTTGTTCCATTGTTTGGGCGCCGTGTCTTCACTATTTATGACGAATGTGGCCGGCTTTCTTCCTTGGCTCGTATTGCGGTCGAGGTGCTGTCTTGGCTCCGCAGGTTTTACCACAGGAGCTTCTTTCGGCGCCGATGCCTTTGTTACTCCGTGCTTTCGTGACAGAATGAGCCGTTCCTCCTCTAATTCGATGTACCTCGTTGCTCTATGAAGTGCGTCCTCGAGCGTGTTCGGGACATGGAGCGTGATATCGTCCCTAAACCTAGAATCGTACCACACTGCGTTGCGCAGAGCTACGATTGCGGCTTCATCTGGGACGACGATCCGGGTAATGACGTCCTTGAAACGGTCGATAAATAACCGGAGCGACTCCGTGGGTCCTTGCGCAAGGGACCACAGGTCGGCATTGGTTGTCTGGTTCTGTATGAGCGGCGAGTAATGCTTGAGAAACGTTACGGACAATTCACGATAACTGCTGATTGAGTTCGGCTTAAGTCTTGAGAACCAGTTGAGGGCGGCACCGATTAGATGCTCGGTGAAAATCTGGCATTGTCCTGCTTCGAAGTTCTCGTCGGTTAGTTCGGCTCGGTTGATCGCGATGCCGAATGATGTCAGGAATTCTTTTGGATCGCCCTTTCCGTTATAGGGCTCGAGCTTTATCTTTTGGCGCCCTCGGAGTGAGACGCTGGTTATTCTTCGAGTGAAAGGAGTTTGCTGCGTTTCTTCAAGGACGCGGTCGAGTTCCGGTGCGGCACTTGTGGCCTTATGAACCTTTGTGTTCATTTCCTGGACAATGCGTCGCAGTTCGGCGAGCTCTAGGTCTCGGGTATTTTTGCTTGACGAAGTGACAGGATGGATTTGCCGGGTCGGCACTTGGTTTCCTTGAACGGATCGCACACCTTGCATCTGACTTGCACTTAGGCGATTGATTTCATCCTGAGCGCAAGCTTGGGCTGCTGCCAGAGATTCAAGTCGCACGTTCGTCCTGGCTTCTTGCTGGCTCAGGTGCGTGAGGATGTTTTGAAGCAGGTCGTCCGGTTCGCTGCGGTCCTGACTTCTTTGGTTCGTCCCGGCTCTAGTGTTAACCTGCGGGTTCGTCATGTTACGCCCGTTCGAGGGAGTTATCTGAGCATCATGATGTGGTGCAGGGTGCGGTCCGATAGCTGCCGCAGTAGGTCCTTCCGGCGTCGGAGGTAGCGAAGGCGGTGCGGCTGCGGGCGTGCATGCTTCTCCTCCCGAGCTGGAGGCACTTGCGCCGAGTGCGTTGTGGAATGCGTCTGTCATCTTTGCTGTTTCGTCGGTTCGTAGTTATGAGAGAAATTTTCGAGCTTTTCCCCTACCTGGCGCGCCAACTGTTGATCCTCAAAATCACACAAGTACGTATTCGAAGTCTTAAGGGTGAAAGAAGAATCTCTTATTTAATGACGAGCCGACGATTTCAAAAATAGACGAGCTAAAAACTGAGTATACGAGCCGAGCCGCAAAGTACTCTGACGGTTGTACGAAATTCTCTGTGAAAGCGGTTATTTCGGGATCCCTTTACAAACATTCTTTTTTGCTATTTATAGGATGCATGAGTAGGGTACACTGTGCGTGCGAAATGTCCTTTTTGCCCTTTGGTCGGTGGAAAATCGGACTGGGCCTTTCTTGGGCTTTTCTGGGACTAAACTCTTAATGGGCCGGACCCTTAAAATCTGATTTTCGGCCCGTCTCGTCGAGTTGAAGGCCCAAGATGGGATTATGGGCCCGGGCCCATAATCTACCATCAACAAACCCTCGCTTAGCGAAAACCGGATCGTTTTGTGCATATCTATTCAGCACACAACAGAGTCAATAGTTTTAGCAATAAAGGAGATCACCGGATAAAATTAGTCAGGCTTACCCGATTTTCTGGAATCCTTGAGCTATTCCCTTGAAGAGCTCGAGAACGAAACAGCCATCAAGAACAAGCATTTCGGTGAACTCATTACTATTCTTCATATCAATGGGACCTTGGTAGCAAGCACGAGCCTCCTCCTCGAGCTCTTTCATGGCGTCAATATACATTTCGATGTTGTGCTTGGTACGTGCCATGACCATATTGACGGCCCGCCACTTGTGGCGCTCCATGGGCAGGAGATGTTCCTTGCCATGGTGGTATGGACCAATAGAGACAGTTTGAGGTAAGTAAGACTTCTTGTCGTTCTCTTGAAGATAAAAGGGAACTCTGTAGATACAGAGCTTTTCCCAGCAATTTGTTGCATCGTATCTAAGTGCTTGCTCCATCTTGTCCTTGATCGAGATCACCCATTCTTCTCGTGTCTCTCTTGGCTTCTCTTCTTTTACTTCGATCTTACCGGGCTCAGAGGCGGAGGCAGTATAGAATCACATGGGTCAAATGACCCTGATGACTTTTTGAAAATTAGTTAGACGTTTATTAAAAAAAACTAGGTTATGAACCCCGCGATATCGCGGGAAACTAATTTTCAACAAATATATTTTATTACGTTTATATATTAAATTATTATTATAATATATTCAAATAATTGAATTATTATATAAAATTAACTATGTCTTAAAGTTATATCATAAATATTTTCTAAAGATATTAAAAAAAAATTTATGAATAAAAATGTAAAAAACAAAATTATGATTAAAAAACACTTTTGAAACATTTTTTGTGAATGTAAAATTATTTATAAGTGACAAAATAACTAACGAAGAGTTATAATATAGAGAGGAAAAATTCTAGCGGGTCAAAACCAAAAAGATATAAAAACACAACCAGAAAAATAACCGTCAATACAAAAATAACCGTCAATATTTTAACGGAAAGTTGCGATAAAAATACACAACCAAAAAAATAATCGTCAACAAAAAAAAGAACCGTCAATATTTTAACGAAGAGTTGCGATAAAAAGATACAACCGAGAACAAATAACTGTCAATATTTTAGCAAAAAATTGCGATAAAAAGATACAACCGAGGAAAAAATAACCGTTAATATTTTAACAGAAAAAAAAAAGACACAATCGAGAAAAAAATATCGTCAATAATTTAACAAAAAGTTATGATAAAAAACAGAAACGAAAAAAGTAACCGTCAATATTTTAACGGAAAGTTGAGAGAAAAAAACACAAATAAAAAAATAACCGTCAACGAAAAAAGTAACCGTTAATATTTTAACGAAAAGTTGCGAGAAAAAGACACAACCGAAAAATAACCGTCAACTAAAAATTAACCGTCAATATTTTAACGGAAAGTTGCGATAAAAAGACACAACCGAGAAAAAATAACCGTCAATATTTTAACGGAAAGCTGCGATAAAAAGACACAAACGAATAAATTAACAAACAATATTTTAACGGAAAGTTGCAATTAAAGACACAACTGAAAAAAACCCGTCAATATTTAATTGAAGAGTTGCGATAAAAAACACACTCGAAAAAATAACCGTTAATATTTTAACGGAAAATTACGATAAAGAGACATAAGCGTTCAAAAGTGCAAAATACATTTATTGAGGTTGTTATTTTGGTTAATAAAACCAATTTGATATGTAGTCTAATGGTTGATGTAAAAAAACTTTGTAGTATTACTAACTATACAAAAAATGCAATGAAATTATATAATGTAAAGACGTAACTTTAAATGAATAAATGCAACTATAAAGATATAACTGTAAACTGAAAAGATACAACTGTAATTGAACAAATATACCGTAAATAATTCAACGAAAATTCAAAGAGAAAATTCAATAAAAAAACATAACCGTAAAAAAATAACCGATTTAAACGAAAAGTTGCGATAAAAAGACGCAACCGTTCAGATGTGCAAATGGTATTTATTAGATTGCTATTATATATAGATTTAATTGACCCATACCCATCAAGACAATTGACCCTTGTAAGATTTAACAATACAATATTTTTACATAGTTTTAAGCCCAATAAAATTTATATTAAGTAAATATATCATAATTAGGCCCATTAACATAAATAAACTTAAATATTTTAACTGTTGATAGCTTAAAAACGGTTTGACTTTTTCTTTTTTGTTTTTTTTGTCGAATATATCTTTAAAATTTGTATATGTGATGACATTTTTATTTTTTAACTAAATTTATGCAGTTTTAGTTTAAAAAAAATTATGACCCCGATGAGTAGACTTTCTGGCTCCGCCACTGACCGGGCTCCGCGTAAGTCTCCTCGTGGTTGTGCAAGTTTTGGCCTAGATCACGTCTGGTAGTTTCATGGAAACTGTGGATTGGCACGAACCATGACAACCGTCTGTACCTTTTGTGGGTGGAAGTTGAGCGACCATCCGAAAACAAAACCATGATTGAAGCTCAGGAGATCAAGAGAGAGGTAGTAATTGTCAAATGTCAAAGCAACATGTAATTGAGTTAAAGTTGTAATCTAGCCATATACAAAACTCTTATAAATAGGCTAACAATTAAAAAGATAGTAGTAAACAACTGCATTTCCTTAATTATTAACTAAGCCAATGACATGTAATCCACATGGTCTTGAATTCTTGATCCTAATATAATTGACTCAATTATGATTAAAATGACCATTTATTACACAACATATTTTCTTTTTATCTTATGTGTAGTCCGAAAATGTGCCCCCTCTTTTATTTATTTTTCTATTTCAACTTCTTTGTAGAAATTAATTAAATCTCGTAAATTTACTAAAAAAACATTTAAGTATTTTTTTGTCTGCATATAGTATGCCATGATTTGAAAACTTTAAAGTAAATAAAATTTATCTGAGGAATAAAGTGTGAATCTCAGTGAAAAATCATCATTCTAGATTAAAAAAAAAAAAACATAATAAAGGATTTATTATAAGGATTTTACATGGAATAATCAATCCATTTGAGTTTGACCAATAGATTAAGGGGTTTGGGTATACATTTATATAGCTCCAACCCATTTGCATAAGGGTTGGGTTGGATTAGTTGACACCCCTAATAAAACCATATCCCAATTATTAATATACTTAGCGACCAAAATCAACCTTATTAAAATTGCTTTGCAACAACATAATTATTCTAAAACCCAATTGTTACAATGCAAAATTCTAAATAGAAAACATAGAAAATGTTGAAAAACAAGAAACTACAAACATTCCAAATTGAAGGAAAAAAACGACTAAAGTTTAGAATTTGGCTTATAATAAGCATACACAGCGTAGAAACTCTGACATAATGTGAGAAGTAGCAAAATAACTGCAGCAGAAAAAGAAAAATATGCCCAAGGATTGTTGAAGTACTTGTGCGTCAAGGTAGCCTTCAAAACATTCCACTTACGATTGTAATAACGGTTTACATCACCAGACAGTCGAGATAGATGACTATCTTTCGGATCGAAAACCACTTCTTGACATAGCCGGTTGAACAAATCCGCAACTTCAGAATCACTACCAAGCCAATGCTCGATGATACCACAATAATGCAAGTAGCTAACATCTTCAGAAGCGTTTATTAGATTATCCATGAAAATTATGTAGGATGTTATGTGGTTGCTCGACTCAATATGACACTGCTCAAAAGCTATAAGATTTGAGAAGAGAGACTTAGTACCTACAAAAAAAAAAACATGAAGGGATATGTAAGTTTATGGAATTTAGGGGTTCTATAGTGTTGCATTTTTAGGTTCTTCCTCTATTTAACCTTTAGATGTTCACCATCTCTCACACTCTCTTTAGTATCTCTCTGTTTCTTTTGTTGTTGAAACAGAGATTACCTTGTTCTCTCTTTACTCTCTTTGATTGTTACACAAACGTTTAGTAAGAGAGAAGAGAGAAACAATTAATTGTCTACATCTTGTTTATTGGATCAAAGGATACTTTTCTTATAAGACACACACACATAGATATAGTGGTTTTTCTACTGACCACACACATTTGCAACCATACTTCTACTTAGACCTAGACCTTACTTCTAGACATCATTACCTAAGCTTATAACCAAGCTCACAAGCAAGGTTAACCAACAACTCTTACACAACACAACTCTAATCTTTAGCTAGCACTTTAACTAACAAAACACACTTCCTTTAATTTAGGCCTTAACCAAAAACGTAGCCCATTAGTCTTTTTAGGACCAAACCACACAAAGCCCAACACCTTTCTTCTTGTTGACTTTGCTCCTTCTTCTCTATGTGTCGTTGACCTTGTCACGACTTCTTCTTCTTCTTCCTTTGCCTTTGCTCTATGAGCACTTCTTCTTCTCGCTGAAGCTTCTTCTTCTTCTGCAGGTTTAATCAAAGGTTCAATTCCAACACTCCCTCTTGAACCCTTTGATTAAAACCCCAATTTCAATTTAGGGATTTTAATCCCATTGCTCCTTGCTTTTTCTTCATCATCTTCCTCTTGCTTCGATTCTTCTTAATCGAGCTTCTTTCTATATCTGTGGTTCTTAGCTTCTCCGACGACAGCTAGAGGTCACAACTCTCACCGATCACCAGTCACTTCCGCCGTCTTCAACCACCACTTCCGTAAGTTTGCTCTTCTCCCTCTTAAGCTGAATCTCCATGGATCCAACCCTTTTCTTTCATTTTTTTGTGCGAATATCTTTGCCATCTCTTGGCTAGTTTTCTTCGCAATTTCCTCTGTTTCTTTGATCAATTTCTGACCAAAAACTTTTCTTTGCAGGAAAGATTTCAGCTCTTCCGCTTCATGTCTCCTCCAAGTTTTCTCCGTGAGCTCTTCTCACGTCTCTTGCTCGGCTGACGTTGCAACCGGCTTCAGCTCCCACTGTGGTGAGCTTCTTCTTTGCTTGGTGTCAACTGTGATCACCAGCCTTGTTCTCTCTCTTTTTTTTTTTTTCGATTCTCCGAACCATCACCTTAGCTTTAGCCTTGGACTTTTGACTCTGGCACCATCACCCGGCTTCTCTTACCGTAGTCTCTTAGGTTTCTCCATGAGTTTCATCCTTGCTTTCTTTGCCTTAGTCGTTTGGTTCTTTGAATCTCCACCTCGGTTTTTCTCTAACCTTAGCTTGTTAGGCTTTTGAATCATCAACCTCCGCTTTCTCGGACTTGGTTTGTTTGACTCCTTGAACCGTTGGCTTTGGTCTTTCTCTAACCTTGGCTTCTCTTTCTCCTTCTCGTTTCAGCTTATGAACCACTCGGATTCTCAGCCTCAACAAGCATCTTCAAGCTTCACCAATACAATGTCGAAGAAGGATTGAATTCATCACCTTTCACAACACCATCTCCACACCGTTGTCTTCATTGCTTCTTCCAGAAGATCTCCACGTCTACTTGGATGCACCTGAAGCCCTCCTTCTCTAAGGTACGGTGTGAAATAGTTAGTGTAGGTTGGTGGTGCTCTTTTTTTTTTTTGTCACCACATCTCTTTCCTTCTCTTCTTTTCCGACATAATCTCAGCTTTGCTCTTCTTTTCCCTCAGCCTTACACTTCTCTTTCTTGTGCAGGCTCTTCTCTTCTTTTGTCTTGAGCACAGGTCCACTCAAGATTTAAATCTCTTGCCTTGAGCTCAGGTCCACTCAAGGTCTCACTCTCTTCTTCTTCTTCTTCTACGGCTTCTTTGCCGTCTCACTTACAGCAGCTTCTCGGGCTGCATCATCTCTTCATCTTTGCCGTCTTCTTCTTACGGCCAGCTTTCTTCTTTGTTGATGGCTGTCTCCATCTTCCTCACAGCTTTTTCTTCTTCTTCCTTGGAAAGGCTCCAAGATCAAGTAAGCTCTGATACCATGTTGCATTTTTAGGTTCTTCCTCTATTTAACCTTTAGAGGTTCACCATCTCTCACACTCTCTTTAGTATCTCTCTGTTTCTTTTGTTGTTGAAACAGAGATTACCTTGTTCTCTCTTTACTCTCTTTGATTGTTACACAAACGTTTAGTAAGAGAGAAGAGAGAAACAATTAATTGTCTACATCTTGTTTATTGGATCAAAGGATACTTTTCTTATAAGACACACACACATAGATATAGTGGTTTTTCTACTGACCACACACATTTGCAACCATACTTCTACTTAGACCTAGACCTTACTTCTAGACATCATTACCTAAGCTTATAACCAAGCTCACAAGCAAGGTTAACCAACAACTCTTACACAACACAACTCTAATCTTTAGCTAGCACTTTAACTAACAAAACACACTTCCTTTAATTTAGGCCTTAACCAAAAACGTAGCCCATTAGTCTTCTTAGGACCAAACCACACAAAGCCCAACACCTTTCTTCTTGTTGACTTTGCTCCTTCTTCTCTATGTGTCGTTGACCTTGTCACGACTTCTTCTTCTTCTTCCTTTGCCTTTGCTCTATGAGCACTTCTTCTTCTCGCTGAAGCTTCTTCTTCTTCTGCAGGTTTAATCAAAGGTTCAATTCCAACATATAGATACAAACATATGGTTAAGGAATAAAAAGTAGGAAAGAAAAGAGAATAATTTAGAAAGCTTACCATCATGGATTAGTAGTTTGGGTATTTCTAGATAACCATTTTTGAATTCAATATCCCAAAACCGGTCGGTTTTCCTTTTCCTGAACTTCACACCAGCTTCCCTTAGTTCCGTCACGCAATGTACCATTTGTTGTTGTCGCTTGTCCACCACTCGCGTATTTCTAGTTAATCTCTTTAGTAGAGATCTTGTATTCGGTGTAGGACTAGAGTGAAGTAGACTTCGACGGAAAACATCCAAACAGTGCAACTCGCCCTTGTCACCAAGTGTGTCCAAGGATTTTTCCAGCCAGTTCATGAGCTTTGACTGGTCCGGTTTGGTTAACGCCTCTCCCGTTGGCATTAGCGGGTCAAAGAACTTAACAGCTACATGTGCCACTATACCGGTTTGGTTCTGTGTACCAAGCTGTAACTCTAGCAACCGGTCGAGAACGAACAGAGGAAGTTGATTTTCCAGCATTATCATGTCTCGTTGAATCGAATGCATCAATCCTCGCATTGCGAAAACCGGATCGTTGCGCGCATATCTACTCAGCACAGAAAAAATAATCAACTATATAGATTACCGGTTTAGCAGGTATATTAGATAACCGGAAAAAACCAGAAACGCTTACCCTATTTCGGTAAATCCTTCAACAGTTCCCCTGAAGAGCTCGAGAACAAAACAGCCATCAAGAACAAGCATTTCAGTGAATTCATTACTGCTCAAACTAATGGGACCTTCATAGCAAGCACGAGCCTTCTCTTCAAGCTCTCTCATGGCATTAGTATACATTTCTATGCGCTGCTTTAAACGTTTCAGGACCTTATTGACCGCGCGCCACTTGTGGCGCTCCATAGGCCGGAGACGCTTTTTACCATGGTGGTACGGACCAAGCGAAACGGTCTGAGGGAAGTACGACTTCTTGTCGTTCTCTTTCAGGTAATGTGGAACTCTGTAGATGCAGAGCTTTCCCCAAATTGCTGTGTCGTCGTCTCTATGTGCTTGCTCGACCTTGTCTCTTATTGAGATCACCCAACTGTCTTCTCCTGTGGTATCTCCTGGCCTCTCTTCTACCACCTCCTTACCGGACTCGGAATGAGTCTGTTTGTGGTTCTGAAAGTTTTGGTCTTGAACCGGAATCTCGGATAAACCGTGGAGATTCTGATCTTGAACCGGTTCCGAGTGTTGGTTTTTGGTTTGGAATTTTTGGCGGAGCTTGAGGCTGAGCAAGTACCAAGTTAACATGTCTTTGTTGATGATAATTGGTTGTCCATCGGAATGAACATTAACTAAAACCATTGGTTTTGCTGGTTGGAGGTTTCAGGAGATTGAGAGCAAGAGCTGTAATTGCGAAATGTTAAATGCAAACGCTGTAACTAATTTAAAGCTGTGGTTTCGCCATGTCCCATAGGTTTGCTTATTTTCCAATTTACATAACTCTTATAACAAGACTTCGTACTATTATTAATAGACTCTTCATAAATGCTTGTAGAATTTTCTATAAATGAAATTCAAACACCCAACCTCCCATAGTAAAGAGTAAAGACTCTGCCGTACTCTTACTAAAAGACTCATCATAATTGCTTAATAGTATAATGTTTTTTGAAAAAATATACTCTTAAAAGACTCATGAGTCATGAGTCTTTGAAAAATATACAAACTCTTAAAAGTATAATGTTTTTTCCAATCTATATTTGTATACATACAATGATATATATTTTTTTAGTCACATGTATTTATAAAATTTATTATTTTAGTTATTGAGTCTCTCGATCGGTAAATGGGTTGGACACTTGTCAACTGTTCTCATGGACTACATAGATCGTAGGTTTGGTGCAACTAGAGAGTCTAGAGCACATTACCAGAGAAATTTGGTCTGATAAGTCAACGTGAGGATGGCATCCATACTATATACTATCTTGATAGGTGTGACCCTCGCATCCTGTTTTGTACTTGTCTCATATATGATGGTGTCGAATATAGAGAATGCGATGATATTATTAAGATCAATCCAAGCTCATATATACACAGAGAATACTTGCAGCCTAGGTATACCGACATTAATACAAAAATACACTTTACATATTTGGATTGATATGAATCTTCTACATCGAATGCGCTACTCTTGTGTATGTCAAACAAGAGGCCTTCCAGATTACTAACGCGGGAAATTTACTTTGATATGTGTTCAGAAGCTTCCATAGATGGTGAATTTCTAATGAGAATTATAGAATTCTCGTTTGGTGACATGCGGTGTAGTATATATTATCTTAATTATTGGAGATACGCAAGATGTGTATCTTGCGGACCAAGTAATATGGACCGTTAAAGTCTATTATGAAGTGAAGCTCAAACCGAAGAATATTCTAGATGTTTATATTACTTCTTGTACAAGCTATTTACTTATGTGTTTAGGAAGGTTTACATTATATGGATGTTAGCATTATGTTAATGTTGACACTATATATATGTATCTTGTATTTTTATATTGGAGACAACTCAATAATATATTCTATTCCATATTATTTTGACATGGTATCAGAGCAGTCGATCTTTGTGGATCAACGTTAAAATTTTATTTGGTTGGATGCAAGAATGATTTTGGAGATTCTATTGAAAACATGTTTAAGGAATGGGTTTTCACGGGTTATTATTTTTTTCATGTTTTTGGTTTCTTTTATTATGGGGAAGTTTGATTATGGTTTTAATATTACGGGGGAGTTGTTTGGAACGCTCATGTTTTAGGTCATTTTTTTTAGTCCGGTTTGTGAACTGTCCGAGATAGGACGATTATTTGTGGAGTTGCAGGATTTGTGCCCACGGGATGTTGTTATTCCCTTTTACCAAAACCAAAGACGAGCTGAAGTTTCACCCTCTTTTTTGAAGATTGAAGTTTATACCCTGAGAAGTCTGTTGACATGATTTGTCCGTCCTCGGCATGATGTCCACGACATAGGTGTTCCGCTTTGTGATTGCATATTTTGCGTTTCGCGTCTCACCTTTGTCGTGCGGGGGAGTATTGGAGATACGCAAGATGTGTATCTTGCGGAGCAAGTAATATTGACCGTTAAAGTCCATTATGAAGTGAAGCCCAAACCGAAGAATATTCTAGATCTCTATATTACCTCTTGTACAAGCTATTTACTTATGTGTTTAGGAAAGTTTACATTATATGGATGTTAGCATTATGTTAATGTTGACACTATATATATATATATGTATCTTGTATTTTCATGTTGTTCACAACTCAATAATATATTCTATTCCATATTATTTGACATTAATACTCCATTCTTTCTAGCGTCAAATAATTTGTGTAAGAATTTAGCTGTCGCTTGTTTGCACCATTGGGAAATAGATGAACATACACCATGAAAGAGGTGATCGAGGTCATTAAGGTACTGGTGTTGTGCCTTACAAATATCATCCGACACTCAAAATTATATAAATTAAACTCGAAGAGAGCGTTTAAGCATGGAAGCAACCACTCAAAGAGGTAGAAGCGATTGTTCTTAGGTTTTGAGTGGTTTTAGTTATCTTAATGAGATGTTAGTGACAGATTGAGTATTTTCTCTCTCTATTGAGTAATTTCAAACTTTTAAAATTTGAATAAAATGTCATTTGTCCATGCATTTTGCAAGTTTTCACATATTAATATATATATTCAATAATTCTACGATATAATACCATATAATATGTATTGTATAATGTATATGATCGATTTTACTAATCTTTTCAAAGATAGTTATATATATATATATATATGTATATTGAATCTAGATATATATATTTTTTATATAAACTTTGGTTTTTAAATTTGGTAATTTGTATGATCGTGTGGCACGTGTTATTTCTATCTATTAGATTTTATTACATGTAAAAAAATTATATAATAAACTAAAATTCTTAAAAGTAATTGGAGTACATTAATTTTTACACGTGTCTATAAATCAGAGTCCGAAGCAAATAATGACAATATAAAATTTTATTTTGATAAGAAGAAAATACAATTTGGTATATTCCAGATTATATTTAAAATCCTTAAATCAGGGTTTTTGCTTAGGCACCTCTAGACGAGTTAGAGGGTTTCAACCTTAGTCACATAAGGCTTAAGTCACTGGGAATATTTCCATTTTTCGCCGGATTTTGGGAAGATCTTCTTGTTAGAGTCGTATTTTTAAGGAATATTCACCTTCGTTGGAGGTTTTTAATCTACTTTTGACAATCTCCGCCGCAGCTTGCTTCAAACCTTCAAACCCTTGATTTTTGAAGTAGCTACAGAGGAGAATTTTAGTCTGCGTGTGTCTTACGTATGGAGTTTGCCTTGGACAAAGCCTTACAAGAGATGACACTGGAAGATGACAAACCAATAGTTCTGAAAAACCACCCTAAGTATAGCTCTACGGTGCGGAATGGATGCAGTATCATAGGAAAGCTTCTATGTCCCGAAAATCAAAAGATGTCAAGTTTGATACATGAGATGCCACGTCTGTGGCGAGTTAATAACAGAGCAAGAGGTATCGC